AAAGTCTGGGGCTGGGAAGGTGGCTCAGTGGTAGAGCGCTTGCCTTGCATGCATGAGGCCCTGGGTTCGATTCCTCAGTACCACATAAGCAGAAAAAGCCAGAAGTGGTGCTGTGGTTCAAGTGGTAGAGCGCTAGCCTTGAGCTGAAGAGCTGAGGGACAGTGCCCAGGCCCACAGTTCAGGCCCCACATCAACCAAAAAGATAAATAGGTATATAAATAAAGGGGAAGTGTGTATCTTACTTGGGGCCTTGTTGCAGAAGCCATTATGTCTCCCAGGCTCTCCTTCCTCCCTCCCTCCCTCTCTCCCTCTCTTTTTCTTTCTCTCTCCGTTTCCCTCTCCTCTGTCTCTCCCTCTCTTGTCTCTTCCCTCCCAACCCTCTGTGTCTGTCTGTCTGTCTGTCTGTCTTCTCTGTGGCCAAGTTCCCACTCCCTCTCACACTCATCCTGCCCTCCCTCCTGAGGGTCTGTGACAGAGCCAGGCATCCGTGCCCGCGCCAGGCCCTCACGCAGGCACCGTGAGCTCTGCAACCCTCCTTTTTGTTTCCTTAGCCTGCCTCGGGCATTTCGTGACAGCCACGAAAGCAGGCTGCTGGTGTCCGTGACAGCGCCAAGATGGGCAGGGAATTCCAGGGGATGGAAGGGAAGTGCCTACCTCAGCTCACTTCCACAGCCAAGGCCCCTCTCCTGAGGGACAGGAGGGCTGGTCCAGAGGGCCCCACTGGCGAAGGGGTGCGTGTGGCCCGCGGGCTGGCAGAGGAGTTCGTGAGGTGACCTGAGCCAGCGCTGGTTCAGTCGCTGGGCGGCAGAAAACCTGCTGGGGCACAGGCAAGGTGAGCAGGGTGGACAGGTGGGCACGCTGCCAGTGCCGCGCGAGGCCCGGAGGGCATGGTGCCTGCTTCGGGAAGGCCACAGTGAAGTGGTTCCTGGGCCCTGGGCCAGGGCTGCTGGACAGTCAGCCACGCTGTCCTCTAGGCATGCAACAGAGGAAAAGCTGCACTGGTTGTCCTCAAGATCCAGCCCTGGGAGACTTCCCCAGCTTCCTGCAGTGTACCTGCAGCGCCCTCTACTGGCCAGGCTTGCAGTCCCTACGCTCAGCCGAGTTAGCGCTGCTACAAGGAGTGATCCAAAAACAATTAAGTCCAATTAGACAAAGCCACGTCGTAATCTGTCTACAGCTCCTTGAACATGATTTGTTTCCTTTTGTTTGAATCTCATAGATTTCACCAATAAGTTTCCAATTGTGTGTGTGTGTGTGTGTGTGTGTGTAGTACTGGGAATTGAACTCAGGGCCTGAATGCTGTCCTTGATCTTTCTTGCTCGAGGCTAGGGCTCTACCACTTGAGCCACAGCTCCACTTTCCAGCTTTTTGGTGGTGAATTGGAGATAAGAGTTTCACAGAGGGAGGGACAGTGGGAGAAAACGAGGGAGGGGGTAACAATGTTCAATAAGAAGTGTACTCGTTGCCTTACGGATGTTAACGAAGAATGTTACGGTAACCCCTCTGTACGTCACCTAGACAATAAAATTAAAAAAGAGGTAGAAGGGGAAGGGGAAGAGAGTCTCGTGGAGATTGCTGCCTGGGCTGGCTTTGAATTGTGATCCTCAGATCTCAGCCCTACTGAATAGCTGGGATTACAGGTGTAAGCCATTGGCACCTGCTCCAATTCTTTTTTTTTTTTAACTTCTTCTGTAATTTGCTCTCTAGAAGTTGGTTCCCTCTAGGTATTCTGTTTTGCCTTCTTACTGGGGGCACATGCCTTTCCTTTCTTGGTTTATCCTGGTGAGACACAGAGGGAGAGAGAAAGAGAGAGTCTCTGACTTGTATAATCTGAGACCCAGTATTTCATTTCACAACTGATTTCTCTACTTGACTTGAGCTTGTCTGCCTATTGTCTATTTCATTTCAGGGCAAACCCCCATCCCTTCCAAAGATTACAGTGTGTCCCAAAGCACTTGAGTTTAGTGGCAGAGAAAGGAACAGGAGCTGAGCTAAGAACTGTTCTTTCTCTACCCTGGAGGGATTGTGGAGGGCAGTTCAGGTCGGGCTGGGTTGTGAATTAAGCCTCCAAACATGTTAGAAAAAAATTGGCAGCACAGCCAACAGCAGACATGGCCAAGTATCCGCACAAAGATTTTTTCAGAAAGCAATTGGAAATCTCACCTTGCATGCAAACGGAGAAGAGGGTAGCAGATACAGAGCCCTCCAGGTGCTGTCTTGTGGGAGTGTAGGTTATTAATAGGCCTCAAATTTGAGTCAAGACAACGTTCTTAGGTGTCAGACAGCCTGTTCTTCCAACTATTCTATTATCTTCTGAAGAGTTGGATGTAATTAGTGTTCTCTAATGATGCCCTGTAGGAACTGGCTCAGCAGAAAGGTGGAGCGAAGCTAAGACTTCCTCCAGAGATGGTGTCTACACTAAACTTAGTCTACTTAGGGTCCTTCCAAACTGTCTTCTTCTCTTTAGACCAGAAAATGACAAAAGGGGAAAACTAGAGGAACTTAATCATTCTGCCAAAATCATATATCTATACATTGTGACTATCTTGCTTTTTCTTTCCTTTTGCAATTAATGAACATTTTGGACTGGACGCAGGGAAATTGACACACAGCCATCTCAGAATCTTACTGAGCTCTGCCTTTTTTAGCTCTTATGTGGACCAAGGAAATAGCAATATTTAATTATCAAGAAAAATGCCAGACGCCGGTGATTTCACACCTGTCATCCTAGCTACTCAGGAGGCTGAGATCTGAGGATCATGGTTCAAAGCCAGCCCAGACAGGAAAGTCCATGAGACTCTTATCTCCAACAAATCGCCAGAAAACTGGAAGTAGTGCTGTGGCTCAAGTGGTAGAGCACTAGCCTTGAGCTGAAGAGCTGAG